CCCTTCTCCACCTCCAGTGAAGTCCCACTACCAGGACCAGATCAACAAACTTCAAAAACTTCTGCAGCAGCTGAATTGCGAGTTGGAGGACACAAAACACAAGCGGACAGGTGACCCAGATGGGGGGGACAATGGGGTGGGGGGGACTGGGTGAACTTCCCAGCGCAGCGCCCTCCAGATCTCTGGATTGCACCGGGGGTCCTCGCCTTACGACCCCAAGGGGGGCCCAAATTCCCACTGCCGCCTACCGTATCCCTGTCCCCTGCCTCAGCTCTAAGGGTACCCCCCTCTTCTCCCCCCTCCCTCCTCCAACCCCCCCACCCCACAGGGCCGGTGAGGGGCTGCTGCCCCCGGGGTTGGCATCTCTTTCAGCAGAGCTGCTACTGGTTGTCCTCTGCGCATAAGAGCTGGACCGAAGCCAAGCAGGATTGCGAAGAGAAGGAAGGCCACCTGGTGGTCATCACCAGCTACCTAGAGGGGGTCGGTGTCTCCACTTCCCCACCCGTCGCAGGGAGGTGGGGGGCTAAGACCACCAGACCGGCAGAGGGCCGGGACCCTCGGTGTCCGGCTGATGCCTGCTCTGCCTTTTTCTCGCGCGTAGCAATTTGTGTTGCGGTTGACCAAACCGAACAGCGTTTGGATCGGGCTGAAGTTCGACGGCCGGACGTGGAAGTGGGTGGACGGGACCCCCTACACAGTGCGCAGGATGTGAGTCTCCCCACTTGCCCCTCTCCTGCCCCCCCCCCCGTGTTGGGCTTCTGCAACCAGGCCAGAGACGGAATCGAAGCCGGTCTCGCAATACGTTCACTGCTCAACAGGCGCGCCCTGTTGCACAACACTCCTGCGAGTCCTTCTTTCCATCAGTCAAGTCTTGATCTCCGAGTGGTGCTCTTTCTCCTGTTCATCTGCCCAGCTGATGCGGGCTTGTTTGCCAGAGATTGAACCGAGGCCAGTCATTATCTGAATTCTCACAATACGTTCACTGCTCAACAGGCCTTCCTAACATTACAGCTGTTATAACCCAGAGTTCACTAACCAGGTTTCCTCAACTCACCCAGATTGGCATCCCATGCAGCACAAACAAGCCAATTTGCACAATTCCCTCAGGCTACAAAACGCCGCCTCCCTTGTGACCCCCCCCCCCACTCCCATCACCCTAGTCAGGGGAAAAATTGGATGGCTGCTGCGGGTCGGGGGTTGGACTAGATGACCTCAGGGATCCTTCCAAATCTCGCCTGGCTTAGCTGCCTCTTCCACACAGACAGAAGGGGGGTCTTCCTCCCACTCCTGGGCTGACCCCACCCTCTTCTGCTTTGCCCCTTCCAGCGACTGGCGGCCCAACGAACCAGTGGCTTATGACGAATTCTGCACCATGATCTATCGTGACGGGCTGTGGAGCGAAATCTTCTGCCAGTCCCGCTTTAGGTGGATGTGCGAAATGCAGGCGCTGCAGTGAGTCCCAGGGGAGACGCCGCCAGCCGGACCCCCGTGAAGCAGCTGCCCCTCACTTCTTGGAGCCAATAAAACGAATCTGGGACAAAAATCTACGCAGAAATTGGCCTCTTCTCTGCATCCTGGACGAGTGGAAGGGAGGGCAGCTCCCATCGGTCAGCAGGCAGGCCTGAGCTGGGTGGGGGTGTGTGTCCATCCTGGGACCCCAGCGTGGCCTTCGCACAACACGCGGTGTTCTTCTGTCTTTGGGGATTTTGTGGCTTATCCTGTTTTATTGATTGATTAAGAAAATATATGTGGGCACCAAACTTACCGTTGGTGACTCTGGACGGCATCCATTCAGCCATCTATGTCTGTCTGTCTGTCTCTAGCTCTATCATATTTCTATTTCTATTTCTATTTCTATTATTTCTATTTCTATTATTTCTATTTCTATTTGTATTATTTGTATTATTTATATTATTTATATTTCTGTCTGTCTGCCCGCTATCTATCTATCTATCTATCTATCTATCTATCTATCTATCTATCTATCTATCTATCTATCTATCTATCTATCTATCTATCCATCCATCCATCCATTCATCCATCCATCCATCCATCTCATCTGTCATCTCTTTCTAGCTCTATCATGTTTGTCTATAATCTCTTTAGTTCTATTTTTCTTTCTCTATCATCTCTTTTATCATCCATCCAGTCCATCCGTCCATCCATTTTATCATCTATTCATTCTATCTACCTGTCAGTCTGTCTGTCTGTCTATATCTCTCATCTACCATTATCTATCACCTGTCTGTTGCTATCTATCTATCCATCCATTCTATCTACCTACCTACCTACCTGTCAGTCTGTCTATCTCTATCTCTATCAATCTATCTCTATCTCTCCCTCTCTATTTCTTCCTCTATTTATCACCTGTCTGTTGCTATCTATTCACCCATTCTATCTATCTATCTATCTATCTATCTATCTATCTATCTATCTATCTATCTATCTATCTATCTATCTATC